CTCAGGCAATCCACTCACCTCAGCCTCCCAAAGGTGCGGGATTACAGGCTGAGCCACCGAGCCAGCATTCACTTTCTATCGCTGCAGGAATAAATTCCCAGTCTTGGTGACTGATAACAACACAAATTTATTTCTTACAGTTTTGGAGGTGAAAAGTTCAACATGAGTCTGATGGGGCTAAAATTGGGCTGGTTCCTTTGTAGCGGCTTCCAGGGAGAATCCATTCCTGTCTTCTCCAGCTTCTGGTGGCTGCTGGCATTCCTGTGACCATATCACCCAGTGTTTGCCTCCACCTCCTCACTGTCTCCTCTGTAGTCAGATCTTCTGCTTCCCTCTTATAAGGACACTTGTGATTACATTGAGGGCCCACCCAACTAATCCGGGATAATCTCCCCAAGTCCAATCCTTAATCACATCTGCAAAGTCCCTTGTGCCACATAAAGTAACATTCACAGCTTCCAGGGACTCGTGCTAGATATCTCGGGGGCCAACCATGGGAACCAACTGCAGCGTCCTGGCAGGCACCCTCCCAACCCCTGCCCACCCCACCCCAGGCCCCAAACTGCTGGCTTCTCCGCGTCATGGCCCTGCTCCCCCCATGACGTCACTCTCCGTGTCTCCCCTCAGCCTGGGAGCCTTGTGGGCAGGGCCTGACCCCAGGGCCCAGCCTGAACCCATGGCTGCCAGGGTTCAGGGATGTGTGCTGGCGTGTCCCCAGGGTTGCCTGACTGAACCCCAGCCTGCATTTGGCAGGGTGCTGGGACTTTCAGCTCATTCCAGACGTTCATTCAGTAGACCCAGTGCTCGACAGGGTCATTTGATCACCCTGTGAAGGGTGGGCCTGGGGGCTCCCACTTTGCAGATGAGAATACCGAGGCCCATTGAGGTCAAGTCCTGCCTGGAGCAGAGACATGTGGGCGTGAGGTGGGCAGGCTGGGCCAGTCAAGCGGAAGAGGCCTTTATTTTTCAGATGAGGGGTCTGAGACACAAAGAGGTTAACCACTTTGCCTCTCCCTGGGCCTCAGTCTTCCCATCTGAGGACGGGCAAGTGGATGGGCCATCTCTCACACAGCCTGACGTTCTGAGGCTCTGATTCTGAAGCTCTGGTTCGCCTGGGCATGGGCAAGAGCCACTGGCAATCGAGGCTGTCGTGGTCAGGAACCGGCCATGGCTCAGAGCGGATGCATGGGCCTGGAAGTGAGTGCACCATTGGCCCAGAGACGTTTTCTGCCGTCCTGGGAGGTGGCGACCCACTTGCCACTAGCAGGAGCCCTGGCCAGGCCCCCAGAGAGCCCCGGCCGGCATGCTGTGAACCTGCCCCCGTGCGGGTTTCCGTCTCATCCCCGTGGCCAAAGCTGTGCCTCCCCAGGCCCTGCTGCTGTCTCCGGGCCTTTCTACAGCCTGGTCTCCCTGCAACCTTCTCATGAATCATCACAGGCTGTCACACTCCTGAGTTCCTAGGCTGGCTTTCAGAGTCCGCCACAACCCGCTGTGGTTATATTTCTGTGCTAGTTCTTGCTTCCTTATTCCCCCTCCCCTGCAACCTGTTCTCCAGCCTTTTTAAGTGATTTCTTCCTTCCAGAATGTTCTTTCCGCCCCCAAACCTTCCACCTCCACCTCTTGAAATCGCAGTCTACCCTTTGAGATCTTACTTACGGGCCACCTCCTCCATGCAGCCTTCCTTGCCCCATCTGAACCAGTCAGTCCCTTTTAAAGCAGATTTCGCTGCCTTGTAGAGGTCTCTGTCCCTCTCCCTAACCAGGCTGACCCCAAGGGTAGAACCCCGTCTGACTCCTTGCTACCCCCTTGGCCTGGCACAGAGCAGGCGTGGGTGAGGGTTGGATGGGGGATGCACACTGGGTGGGACTTCCAGGGCCTGGTGGGCAGTCACTGTCTTTGCCTAAGAAAGGGGGTGCTGAGCCAGGCAGAGCAGGACTCTGACATGGAACAGGTTCCTGCCTCTGCCCTAAATGTCCTCTCCCCCCCACTGAGCCTCTGTCCCCTGTCTGTACAATGAGAACAGCGCAACCCATTCCTGAGGTTGTGCAGGAGCTTGATCTGAGGAATGGCACCTCCGCTTCCCGGTCTGAGAAATGGGCGTGATCTCACCCGTTTTCGCTCCTTGAGTCTTGGGGACAGGTGGCGTGAGGGACACAGACTGCCCGTGCAGGAAGTGAGGAAAGAGGCTGTCCTTGGGGCAAACCCACCTGACTGGAAGAGAGTAAGGAGTGCTCTCCCCACCATTCAACGGTGAGAGCCTGCAGGGTAGAGAGGGCAGGACCTGGCCTGGGGCCACCCAGCGCTGTGAGGCCGAGGTGGCTTTGGTGACCTGGTGCAGTCTCATTTTGTCAGGCTTTCTTCCCTGTGAGGGAGTGAGACGTAGTCATTACCCCGCTTGGGTAAGAGAATCTCCTCACCGGGGCACCCGGCTGTGTCTGCTCCTCACTCCTACTCTGCGGGATCTGGTGCCGGGCAGGGTTGCCCAGGACTGAGGGTTTCCCGGGACAGAGGGTTTCCCAGAAGGTGGATCTTTGAGTGTAAAGCCATGATGAGCTGGTCACCTGAGGCTGGGCCTGGGCCTGCCCCCTGCCCAGGAAGCCCCCGGTTCCGGGATTATGGCCAGCCTCTCAGCCTCTTCCTGTTCCTGCAAAGGCCTGCAGGGGCCTATGAGCTGGAACACCCTTCTGGAGGTTCCTCTCCCATGTCTGCCGGCTTCCAGATACTTCCCAGCTCCCTCCTCCCCCAGTGCCGTGGGCGGCCGATTCCCAAATGAGGACCAGCTGTGGGGTCAGGCTTCTGACTCAGTTGAGGCTACACAGAGCCAGGCCTGGGCCAACTCTTTCTCATATACGCTGCCGGGGACTTCAGAACTCCAAGACCACCATCCCCCAGGACCAGCTGGAGACCCTGCGCCCCACATGTGCCTGGCCCTGCCCTCCAGGCCCTCTGTTTCCTAGCAGGGGACCCCTGGTGGGATTTACGTGGAAGAAAAATCACTCTGCAGCTGGGTGGAGAATGATTTGGACACAGACATGAGCGATAAGGGAAGGGGAGGGGAGGGGAGGAGAAAGACAGGATTTCCCAACCCCGGTGCCAGGTTGCCTGGCGTTTGCTGAGTGACTCACTAGGCCTGGCAGCCTTGGCTCTGATGCCAGAACCCGGGAGCCCAGAACCCTGGGTGGCCAAGCCCGGCTCTCCCTCCACACGCACATTCTCTCCTCCCCATCCTGCTGTCCATTCCTCAGGTCAGTGTGGGGTCCTGGGAGGTCACAGCACACCCATGACAGGACAAAGAGGCACACATTAAGTATTTTAGAATGGTGGCTTATGGAGCAGATGGAGGCTGACTGGGGGTATGGGAGAGGAGGAAATGAACATGTTAACGAAAACACCCAAATAACCAGTTGGCCACCAGACGGGGGCTCTGCCCTTCCCTGTCCCCCACTCCAGTGTCTGGCCCTCCCTGCCCTGACCTGGGTCACTGTGGCAGCATCTGACCCTTAGCCTCAGTCTGGGCTCCCTGTGCCCTGGGGAGGTGCGATGCCTTCAGCCCGGCCTCTGCAGCCCAGCAGTGCTGGTCTCCTCCCTGTCCCTCTGCGTCCCTCCCCTGCACTGCCACCTGCCCTGCTGTCCCCAACCCAGCCTTCAAGCCCTGCCCGGGCCCCACCTCAAAGAGCCACCAGCATCCTCACCCTGCCCCACAACCTGCCCTGCTCCTGGGAGCACTGGCCACAGTGCATCTGTTACCCTTTGCCCCTCTGTGTGTGACTGCCTTGGGGGACTAGCCCCCTCCTTGCCAGCCGGCTCAGGGCCAGCCCAGAATGGGTGTCAGCAAAGATGCACAAGTTGGAATTGACCAGGTCCCTTCCCTATCCAGTCCTTCTCTGTTCATGTGGCAAAGGCTGGCAGTGGTGGTGGGAGGTGTCTCACCTTGAGTGGGGAGGAGGGGACATCAAGGAAGGAAGGTGGGGGAGATAGGGCTGTGACTGGCAGGAAGTAGGTGAGGGCATCATTGGGTCCTCCACCTGGCACTGGGTGACACCCATTCTGCCAGGCTTGTGCTGGGCACTGGGCACCACCGTGGGGCATAGGGCAATGGGACACAGGAGGGACCCCCAGCAGGTGTTCACTGTTTGGCCCCCACCGTTGCTTGGCTGCCAGGTAGAGCTGAGTCTCCCTCCCACACAGCCCCAGGAGCCCATCCACAGGAGCCTGGCAGTTCAAGTTCTGTGGTCTTCAGTGTTTCATGTCCTTTCTAGTCTGTTCCCCTTGTGGCAGCCAGATGGAGCTCCCTGAGACAGCCACGACCAAGTCCCTTTCCCTCTCAGCACCCTTCCACAGCTCCCCATCACCTTAGGGTGCAGTCAGTCCCTGCACCTGGTGCCCCGGGACCTCTGACTGGCTCCTCTCAGCCTCCCCTTGGTCAGCTTTATTCCTTTCCCTGAACCTGTGCCCACCCCTCACGGCCAAGCAGCCCTTCCCAGATGCAGAGGAAACCTAGAGATGTGTGCTTGGCTGGGGGTATTGGGACACTACACACCTGTGGGACCTTCTCTTGGACTTCAGCGCTCCAAGTGTCAAGTCCACAAGCTCCCTGAGAGCGTCCTGAGGAGGCTGAGGATCAGAGAGATGGAGACTGGCAGAAGGTCACACAGCCTAGTCGCCGACCCAGCCTGAGCACTTCCTCACTCTTCCTCCCTTTACCCCAGGTCACCCACCTAGGCATGTGGTGTCCAGCTGGACGAGGCTAGGGCTGTGGAGGGCTCAGAGCTGGTGGGACTCAGGTCACCAAATTCACTGCACTGGCCTTTTTTGTGTAACTTTGTATTGAAGCATCACTGACCTACAGAAAAGTGCATTAGTCATGAGCTTGCAGCTCCGTGGATTTTCAGAGTGAACACACCCATGTAGCCACCACCCGGAACGAGAGAGGATTTTATCAAACCCGGAAGTCCCTCACGCCCCTTCCAATTACTACTCTCAAAGGTAGCCACTGTCCTGCTTTCTGTCCACTACAGACGTTAATACGTGTTTTCTTTTTTTTTTTTTGAGTTGGAGTCTCACTCTATTGCCCAGACTGGAGTGCAGT